CTTAGTAGCTCCGCACTGGACTGCTAGCCTCAAAGTCAGCAATTCAAAACCACCAGCAGCTTCATGGGAGCTTCACAGGCTTTCTACCCCGCTACAGAATTATAGCCACTGAAACCAACAGGGGCATTTCTACCCTGTCCTATAGAGTAGCTATGAGTCAGAATCACTCTGAGAGTGACTGAGTGCAAGAATAATTGGAAGGAAAAAAAAGCATCAAGGGACCTGTCTAATACTTAAGAATAAGCAATTAAATCCATGCATTTGAATTATGGGGCTGGCAAAGAAATACTGAAAATACCATGGACTACCAAAAGAACAAACACATTTATCTTGGAAGAAGTACAGTCAGAATGCTCCTTAAGACACCCTCTCACGTCCTTTTGGGGTCATTTTACCAAGACAGACCAGTCCGTCCTGGAAAAGGACACAAAGCTTGGTAAAGTAGAATCACAGAGGAAAGAGATAACGCTCAAGGAGGTGAACTGGCACAGGGGGTGCAATAATGGGCTCAGACATAATGACAATCGTGAAGAAGTGCAAAATCAGGCAGTGTTTCAGTGTGTTGTACACAGAGTTGCTACGAGTTGGACAGACTAGGCAGCACCTAATAACATCCTAAGTTACACTGTGCTAACATAAGAAAGGTTCTTACACCGACTTAGGAAAAAGCTCTTGGTCATCAGAAACAGAAATGGAAAGACAGGGCATTTTAAGAGCTTCCTGCTTACACAGAAGAACAGAATGGAGAGCTGACAAAAGTCAGCTACGTAGATGAATCTTGAAAATATCATGCTAAGTGAAATTAGTTAGGCACCAAAAGCCAGATATGTAATTCCACTTATATGAATACTTAGAAGAGGTAAATTCAGAGAGACCAAAAGAAGTTTAGAGGCAAGTAAGGGCTGGTAGAGGAGGAATATGGAGTTCTTTCTTAATGGGTACAAAGTTTCTATCTGGGGTAATAAAAACTTTGTGAAACAAAGGTAAAGACTGCACAACATTGTGGAAATAATGCCACAGAAAATTATGTTAAAAAATGGTGGTAGTTGGAGGCAAAGGGCATTTGTAGAGATCTAAATATAGGCATGTACATATGTAAATATATTTACATATGACGATGGGTAAGTAGATCTAGGTGCATATATTTATAGGTTTAGGATTAAGGTAGCAGATGGACATTGGGCCTTTAATCAAGTACACCCTCAATGCTAGAACACTTTGCTCTATGAAACTGGCATTCCATGATGCTCACCTTCCCAACACGATCGCTGAAGACAAAACAGGTGCATAAGCAAATGTGGTGAAGAAAGCTGAAGGTGTCCGGCTATCAAAAGAGATAGTATCTGGGGTCTTAAAGGCTTGAAGTGGCTATCTAGCTGAGAAGCAATAAAGCCCCCATGAAAGAAACACTCCAGGTGTAGATAGGATCAGTATCAGGCAGGTATCAAAGAACAAAAAAAATCATTGTGAATGAGGGGGAGTGCCGAGTGGGGAACCAAAGCCTATCTGTAGACAACTGGACATCCCCTTACAGAAGGGTCACAGGGAGTAGACAAGCCAGTCAGGGTGCAGTGTAGCAATGATGAAACATACAGCTTTCCTCTAGTTCTTTAATGTTCCTTACCCCTACTATCATGATCCCAATTCTACCTTACAAATCTGGCTAGACCAGAGGATGTACACTAGTACAGATAGGAACTGTAAATACAGGGAATCCAGGACAGATAAACCCCTCAGGACCAATAATGAGAGTAGTGATACCAGGAGGTTAAGGGGAAGGTGGGGGAGAAAAGAGGAACCGATCACAATGATTTCCATATAACCTCCTCCCTGGGGGATGGACAACAGAAAAGTGCGTGAAGGGAGACATCGGACAGTGTAAAACATGAAAAAATAGTAATTTATAAATTATCAAGTGTTCATGAGGGAGGGTGGGGAAAATGAGGAGCTGATATCAAGATCTCAAGTAGAAAGAATGTTTTCAGAATTATAGCAACAAATGTGCTTGACATAATGGATGGATGGATTGCGATTAGAGTTGTATGAGCCCCCTATAAAATAATTAAAAAAACAATGGTGGTTATTTGTTGAGTCGATTTCTACTCCTGTGTGTGCAGAGTAGACTAACTGCTCCATAGATTTTTCAGTGCTGTAGTATATTTGGAAGGAGATAGGCTTGTCTAAGGTGACTAAGGGGGGTTTCAAACTGCCAACCTTTTTGCTATTAATGAAGCACTTAGCCATTTAAGCCACTCAAATATGGTAAAATGATAAAATTTGTGTCATCTATGTATATTCTCATAAATAAAAACAAAACAAAACTGTAATGGGCAATTTCCTGACAACACACATTTCCTTCTTTCTTCTAACAGAGCTTTTTCTTACCTCTGGGGGAATTAATTTCTATGTGGTTCAGGTGGATACTCCCCAAATTTGGCCAAAGTGAATCCTAATTACAGAATTCTGGGGTAAATGATCCACTAAGGCTCTTCCTGATTTTTTTTTAAAGTAAGTCGTGTGTGTAAAGGAGTAGGGGAGGTCTGCAATTGAGGAAGTAAGAGAGAAGAAAAGGCTCCAACTTCATGTCTGAACTGAACTCCCTACAGGTGCAAAAATGGTGCAATTTAAGATACTGATAGGATAGACATTTAAGAGAATATTTATAAAGATAGTTTTCCTTCAGCACCTTGTGCTTTGTAGAAGAGAAAAAAATCCAAGTAAGACACAATTCCACACAGAGTATAAGTTGCAAGAAAATTATCTGGAAAAGTGGTTACACTTCAGTGTGAGATTATGAAAGATTTTTTGAATGCTGTATAATAAGTAATTGCTCAGGTAGCAAACATACAGATTTAAATGATCTCTGAGTTTGACAAAAACTAATAACGATCTTGTTAATGTTTCTTTTTATTTGATAGGTAACTATTTTATTTTTAGTAGATATTACTTATTAAATAAAATAAAAATTTGTATTCTTTTTTAATCATTTTATTGGGGGCTCATACAACTCTTTCCACAATCCATACATATATCAATTGTATAAAGCACATTTGTACATTTGTTACCCTCATCATTCTCAAAACATCTGCTCTCCACATAAAGCCCTAGCATCAGCTCATTTTCCCCCTCCCTCACCCCTCCCCCATGAACCCTTGATAATATATAAAGTATTACTTTGCCATATCATGTACACTTTCCGATGTAAAAATTTGTATTGTTATACTCTTCTTCATTGCCTATGAATATAAAAGAATATTTCTTTAGAAGACTGATAAAAGTCTTCTTTCCGGTGTTAACAAACTCAGGGACAAGGGAACAACAAGCAATCCAAATTGGTGGGGTGGTGGGTGTGGGAGACCTGGTAGGGCATGATCAAGGGGAATGTAACAAAGAGGAAGTGCTGAAATCCTGGT